TTTCCTCGGGGCTGTCTCTCCTTCTCCCTTGTTGGTGGGGGGGGACGGATATCCTGAGTTGGCCTCTCCTGGGTGCCTTTGCTCTGGGGATCCCTTTGGGCATCTGGGGCTTTGGGTCCCCTGGCGCTCGCCTCGGTGCTCTGGAGGGACGGGTCTTCGGCTCTTCACAACCACTATTGAGCATTTTTCCTTTGGATAAACTTTACATGCACAAGTGCACTCTCACAAACAACTACAGGTGCTTAGATTTACTTCCATACAGAAAGCCCATATTCTGATCTTCAGCTACCACAGTGTACATGTCAGATTAAATAATACTACTTATACTTCAGCAATAGTATCAAGGTTCCACTTTATTGTATCTCATACTATATCCACATCTCTCCTCGCAGACAGAAGATTTTTTATTGTCTCCCTTTCATCTTTTCTCAATTTTTTCCCCGTTTTTCCTTTCCTGTTCTACTTACATTGCAGAGTCCATATAATCTGTAATATTCCCTGCATAATTATAATAAAGCTATTTATATGCATAAATCAAGCGGAACACTATGGCGATCGCCGTACTGCTCCACTGGTGAAAGTAAAATCTGTTGGGCTCTTTTTTTGGCATCAAGGCAGTTATTCTTATTGCCACATCGCCAGACAGGACACTGTTAAAAAAAGAAATGTTATCGTGATAAGCAGAATGTAAGTAGAATACTTTACACATGGGATAAAGACAACTCTTTCCTTTTTTTAACTTTAAATCTGATTGGTCAAAGTGGTTTGAGTTTCTTTAACCCTCAGAGAAATGGACCATTTATTTATAATATTTAAATAGGTTTTATTGACAGGTTGACTGCTAAACCATACTGACTGCATTTGACTTGCAAAAACAAACCGCAGCAAACAAAGAAACAAAACAATCAAAAGTCTCCTGCTGGTTGTTCATATGAATATAGCATTATACAATACCTGGAAATTCTCCCGATATTTGAAGTTATTGCTCACAGACCTCCTGATCAGTTATTTGTGGTTAATTTAAAGCTGGGCTTACATGGTACGATTTCTTGCCCTTTTCGGACAGATTCTCCAGACATGCGAGAATTTTTTGATCAGCCTGACTTTAAGCCTGATCATGCATCGTGTAGAACAGGGGGTAACGAGGAGCGATCAGCCTCTCACCACCTCCTCCTGATTAGGAATCGTAATTTCGGGAGAAAATCAAACAGTCTAAAATTCAGTCGGCCGTCGTAAGGTGGTCATCT